AACTCAGGCAGAAACTCCCTGCTGGACCAGAGACCACACTGGCCACCAGACTACAGATAAATGGCCCACACAAAAACCTCCTCCACTCTCTCAGTGCCCCCCCCCAAAAAAACTACCCCCAATCCCCACTTCCATCCTCATCACAGTATTCTGCCCATAACTCTGGGTAGAGGACCCTGCTGGCCAAAGGCCACACTAGCCACCAGAAGTCTACCCCCCAATTCTGACAGAGATGGCCTGCTGGACGAGAGGTCAAGAAAGCTGCCAGGAATCCAGGCCACAAAGACCAGAAGACCAAAGAGGAAACAGAAACCAAGTAACAAAACAAAAAATTCAGCAAAGGCAAATTCAGAAATTGGCACCTAGACCTATAATCACCCCAAACCCAAATGCCTACTGGACCCCAGTGTAAGAACACAATCAACAATAGGCAGGGTAATACTTCATCAGGAAAGAACCCAGCTATGCTACTACAGCAAGCCCTGAATATTCCAACACAGCTGAGGCACAAGGAAACAACCTATGAAGATAGAGGTTCTTAAAGAAGAAATGAATAAATTCCTCAACAGAAAAACACAAACAAACAATTGGAGAAAAGGAGTAAATTCCTTAAAGAAAAGCAAGAAAAAAAAAGTAGGAAGAGACAAATAAAACTGATTAAGGCCTGAAAATGGAAATAGAAGCAATAACAAAAACACAAACTGAGGGAATTATACAAATGAAAAATCTAGTTAAATGAGCAGGACTATAGATACAAGCATCACCAACAGAATTAAGAAATGGAAGAGAGAATCTCAGGTGTTGAAGAATGATAGAAGAAATAAATACATCATTCAAAGAAAATGTTAAATCTAAAAAAATTCTGGCAGAAAACATGCAGGAAATCTGGGAAACTATAAAAAGACCAAACCTAAAAATAATATGAATAGAAGAAGAAGAATCCTAGTTTGAAGGCACAGAAAATATTTTCAACAAAATCATAGAAGGACATGCCTATAAAGGCACAAGAAGCTTACAGAACACTAAATAGATTGAACCAGAAAAGAAAGTCCCCTCACCACATAATAATCACAACAGTAAACATATAGAACAAAGAAAGAATTTTAAAAGCTGTAACGGAAAAAAGGTCAAGTAACATATAAAGACAGACCTATTAGAATTACACCCTACTTCTCAACAGAGACTCTAAAAGCCACAAGGATGATCCAGACACTAAGAGCCCACTGATGCCAACCCATACTACCATACCCAGCAAAACCTTCAATCACCATAGATGGAGAAAACAAGATATTCCATGATAAAGTCAACTTTAAAAAATATCTACTCATAAATCCAGCCCTATAGAAGGTACTAAAAGGAAACTCCAACCTAAGGAGTTTAACTACACCAATGAAAACACAGGAAATAATCTTATACCAGATAAACCAAAGAAGGGAAACACACACACACACACATTACCACCACCACCAATAACAACAAAATAACAAGAAGTAAAGTCACCAGCTATTAATCTCTCTCAATATCAATGGACTCAACTCCCCCCCCCCCACACACCACCAAAATAGAAAAGATACAGGCTAACAGAATGGATGTGAAAACATGATACCTCCTTCTGATGCATACAAGAAACATGCCTCAACATCAAAGGTAGACATTACCTCAGAGTAAAGGAAAAGATTTTTCAAGCAAATGGACCCAAGAAGCAAGCTGGTAAAGTTATTCTAATATCTAACAAAACAGACTTCAAACCAAAAATTAACCAAGAGAGATGGGAAAAGACACTTTATATTCATCAAAGGAAAAATACACCAGATGACATTTCAATTCTTAGCATCTATGTCCCAAACACAAAGGCACCTACATTTGTAAAAGAAACATTAATAAAACCTAAATCACATAATAACCATTGATAGTGGGAGACTTCAATACCCCACTCTCACCAGCAGACACATCATCCAGACAAAAACTATACAGAGAAATACTGGAACTAACAGATATTATAAACCAAGGCCTAACAGATATCTACAGAATATTTCACTCAAACACAAAAGAACATACCTTCTTCTCAGCACCTAACAGAATATTTCCAAAAATGACCATGTACTTGGTCACAAAGCAAGGCTCAACAGATAAAAGAAAATTGGAATACCCCATTGTATTCTATCAGGCCATCATGGATTAAAGCTGGATATCAACAACAGAAACAGAAAGCCTATAAACTCATGGAAACTGAACAGCTCTCTACTGAATGGCTACTGGGTCAAGGCAGAAATAAAGAAAGAAATGAAAGACTTCTAGAATTTAATGAAAATGAATACACAATGTACCCAAACTTATGGGACACAATGAAAGTGGTGCCCAGAGGAAAATCCATAGCACTAAGTGTCTACATAAAGAAATTGGAGAAATCTCATACTAGTAACTTAACAGCATATCTGAAAGCTCTAGAACAAGAAGAAGCAAACACACCGAAGAGGAATAGACAGCAGGAAGTAAACTGAGGGCTGAAATCAATAAAATAGAAACAAAGAGAACAATACAAAGTATCAATGAAACAGAGTTGGTTCTTTAAGAAAATCAACAGGATAGACAAACTAACTAAAAGATAGAGAATATCCAAATTAACAAAACTCAGAAATAAAAGGGGGTACATAACAGATACCACACCAAGGAAAGCCAAAGAATCATTAGGCCATACTTTTAAAACCTTTATTCCACAAAACTGGAAAATTTAAAAGAAATGGACAACTTTCTCATTAGATACCACTTACCAATGTTAAATTGAGATCAGATAAACAATTTAAATAGTCCTATAGTATATAGTCCCAAAGAAAACAGAAGTAGTCATTAAAAGTCTCCCAACTAAAAAAAGTCCAGGACCAAATAGTTTTAATGCAGAATTCTACCAGACTTTCAAAGAAGAGCTAATACTCTTCTTATGCCAATACTCGTCAAATTATTCCACACAATAGAAACAGAAGGAACCTTGTCAAATTCATTTTATGAGGCCAGTCACCCTGAAGCCCAGACCACACAAAGACTCAACAAGGAAAGAGAATTACAGATCAATTTCCCTCATACACATTAATGCAAAAATGATCAATAAAATACAAACTGAATCCAAGAACACATGAAAACGATAGTCCATTATGATCAAGTAGGCTTCATCCCAGAGATGCAGGGATGGTTCAACATATGGAAATCTGTCAATGTAATCCACCATAGAAACAAACTGAAAGAAAAATCACGTGATCACCTCTTTCGATGCTGACAAAGCCTTTGACAAAATGCAACACTCCTTCATGATAAAGTCTTGGAGAGACAGCAATACAAGGGACATACCTAATCATAATAAAGGCAATTTACAGTAGCCTATAGCCAACATCATCTTAAATGCAGAGAAAATCAAAGCAATTCCACTAAAATCAGGAATGACAAGGCTGTCCACTATCTATTCAATATAGTACTCATAGCTCTAACTAGAGCAATAAGACAACTAAAGGATATCAAAGGGATACAAATTGGAAAGGAAAAAGTAAAAGTATCACTATTTGCAGATGATATGACAGCTGTCCATGAAAGAACAGGACCAGGTACAGAACTCATCTTCCAGTTTTCATTAGAATCCATCTAGATTTATGCATTAAATTAGTTAACAGTTAAAATAACACTACTTAATAACTAACTGATGCTTTGAAAACAAACAAAACAAAAACTAGCATACAGGTAAAATAAAATACATTTATGGTCCAAATGTGGCTCCAGGAGTCATACCTGGGAGTCTCTGCCTTACATGTTTTGTATGCTTCCTAAATCCATTCCTCCCTTGCATGTCACCTAGCCTGTCCCTAGTAGAGACATCTGCCCACTTGACCTAGGAAGCAGGTAGTGCTAGCATTAGGAGCAAGGGTGGAGTTACCATCTCAGGACCAGGGAGTGCTCTTTGCCATGGATTAGTATGGTAGATCTCTTAGGAACTCAAGACCAAGGAGGTGTACTCTTCTACATTCAGATTTGAAGTCTAAACAGCTCTACTCCTCTACTTTGACAGGCAGTAACCCAATGGAGACTGAATCTTAATCAGGTAAAAGCTTTATGTAAGTCTCTGTATGACCCTGGCATGTCTCAGTATCACTACCACTAGAGTCCTAATACTGTCCTTACAATTTAATGGGTGCCCCAAATTTCTCACCTCTTTCATGTATACAAGAAGGGAACACAAATGGATTAGAGTAGTAGTAACTATCTTTCAGTGTGTTCTATCCTGTAAACCATTAAAGTTTCCCAGAAACCTGAAAACATTTTTGAAAGCATTTTTGTGAAAACATTTACAAAAGGCCAACCTTGCTCTAACCTTCAAATTACAGACACAATAGTTCAGAGATTGAGGACATTAACTCTAGTCCAGTACATTATACTGCTACTTAGTACCTTACTATCCTCATTGGCAATGAGCATATACCAGAGTTCAGACCTATTTCTTGCAGCATAGGTGCTAATGGCTGCTTCTGACAAATGGCAGGAAATACTCAGTGTACTGCCAAGATATACTTTGACCAGGGAAGTGGCAAAAGCATGGCAATGCATTCTGGTTCACTAGTGCTAAGAACATGCAATATTAACCAACACTAATTTTGGAAAGTTTGTAGCAAAGGGATGCACTAGTCATAGATACATGTGAGAGAAAAGCATATGCATGAGGAAGACAGGTGCTACGGCTGGGAAGCAAATACAGATCTGTCACCAGGAAAGTAAGTGATTGCCCAATTTAACTAACCCAAAACATTAAAATGCACAACATGATTTAGAATATTGCTTCAATTTCAACTTCACACTGGAGAACAGTATGCCAACAACTAACTACCTTATATACATGACTCTGACTCCTTGGAATGATCCTGCAGTACTGAGGCTGTATTACCACATATATGGGAGGTTATTAAATGCTTCATAATGATTATGTTAAAGGTCATATTCCTCATACACATAACCTCACTTACTATTATGAGTTAGATATATACATGAGCAGACAATGGTCTTCTTCCATTAAATGCAAATTGGCTGAAATTACTGCTGAAGTTGCCAGACTGGAAGAGAAAAGAGATCAAATTAATGAGGATGAGGTTGTATAATCAGTTTATGATACAGATTATCACCAACTCCCACATACTTGAAAATGTGACTCCTCCTTTTCTCATACTACCACAAACTCTAAGTCAAGCTGTTTCTTACTTCTCTTGTATTCAAATGTACTCGAAAAATCAATTTATTTTAGCTAACTCCACTTTGATCATGCCATCAATTGCAGAAACCTCTGAGGGCTGGCTCCCCACTGCCAGAGGAACAAAGACATACCACCTAGGCAGGGCATTCTTGGCTCTCCGACTTCAAATCCAGGAGTTTTCAACTTTAGCTGAATATCAAAACCACTGGGGAAGCTTTAAAAGAGAAAATATGTTGCTAGCTCATGCCCTAGAAACTATTTAACAGTTTTGAGGTAAGATTCTGAGACTTGCTGTTTTAGGAAATCTGGGTGACACTTATGAACTGCCAAGACTGAAATTTAACTAATTTCCCACCTATTGTTGTACCCAGACAGTGGTGAAAGCTTGCCTGCCTCTAGCCCTCTATTGAGGCAAACTATCTCCTAGGCTATCATTTCTTCCCGAACTCTAGTTAAGGCTCCTCCATTCTTCTGAAATCCAGTGAACCTCTACCACTATCTTTAGAAATATGGCAATCACAATGGGATTGTCATTCTGAGCATCCTAAACCCACCACAAATTTCCTCTGTAAATTATTTTATGGCAATGATAGTTTCACTGAGAATGCTTCTTTAACACCTTGAGCTCTGTATTTCATTTCCCTAGAGGAAGGTAAACTTTCTCTAGCATCTTTTATTCACAGCCCCTAGCCTCTAGCTTTAATAACAGTATTAGGTATAAATCAGGTACTCATGTGTGCAACACTTAATGATCACTGAATAAATTAAATTCTCTTAACTTTATGAAGTGATTTTTCTTACAGTCTGACAACCTAAGCTGTCAACCTTGAGGGTTGTTTATGCACACAGTGACATGTTTTTCACTAGAAGCATCATTATACCCATGTAGAAATGATAATCACTTGTTCACAAAACCTGATGTGATGTCAAATATCTATTAATGTGTTTTCCCTATAGATAGAATGATTTCCATGTTTATGTATTTTCTATGCATATGTATGTATTATGCTATGTGTAGATGAGCAGAAAGGGATAGTACAACAGCTCATCTCTCTACACCTGCTTAAAAAGGCCCTCCCAAGCAAAGGGACATCCTAATACACCATGGGGAGGACCAGAGAGCCAGAGTGCTTCTCCCTCAGTTCAAAGAAGTGCTTCTCAACCTTCCTAATGCTGAGGTCCTTTAATACCTCAGGTGTGGTGACTCCTAGCCCTAAAGTTATTTCACTGCTACCTCATAACTGTAATTTTATTACTGTTATGAATTGTAATGTGGTTATCTGATATGCGGCTCCTGTGAAAGTACCATTCAACCCCAAGGGGTCATAACCCACAAGTTGAGAACCACTGGTTTAATAGTGTCATAGACCAGTGTCTATGACACAGTCCCAAAGCCAAGTTGTACTGGAAGGAGAGTAGTCAGCATGACTACCAGAGCTCTAGATCAGCCCACAGAGTCTGTGATCTATCTAGAGAGCCTTCCAGACACAGAGGTACAGCTTCTCCACAAAACAGCGTAATACATGGCATCTGCCTAGAGGTGAAGCAGCGCTGGTACTCATGAGTTAAACAGTCCTGGGAGTGCTGGCTGAGACACTAACCACTATTTATAACATTGTTTTTGTGGAAAAATCCCTCCTGAATTCCAAACAACAGATCAGACATGAACTTCTGGATAAAGATGATTTCTGAGGTTGGGACTGACTGTATCTTGTTAATTGCACTATATTCAGTATTTTCCTAGGCTAAGATACTAGCCAGGAGAGCATAACAAGAATAACTAGCTGCCATGAACATGGGTCAGAAGTATCTATGAGAATGAACACCAGAGGGTAAGATGGGAAGAAATCCAAGTACATTCTTAGTTTGCTAAATGAATATTAATGAACACTATAAAAAGCTATGCTAAATGTTGTGGGAGACAAAAATCAGGAAAGATCTTTGATTTGTAACCTTAACCTAGGGTGGGGCAGAGAAGATAGAAACTTCACACACACACACACACACACACACACACACACACACACACACACACACACACACACACACACAAAAAGCTATGTGGTAAAACATAGGAATACAAACAAACATGCTGGGGGGAAGCTAGTGCTTTCAGCTGGAAGCTGAAACTTCAAGGAGGTTTTAAGGGGTATGGTAGTTTGAATGAGAATGGCCCCTTCCTCAAAGCTCATGTACTTAATGGGACCCTGGTTGGGGCCACTGTTTGGGAAGGTCTAGGAAGTGTGGCCTTGCTGGAGGATGTATGTCACCAGGAGCAGGCTCAGAGGTTTCAAAGCCTCACTCAGATTCTCAGTGTGTTCCCATTCTCCCCCCTTCTCTCCTTTATGCTTGTGGGTTCAAGGTGTGAACTCTCAATTTCCTGCTCCAGCTTCCATACCTGCCTACTGCTTCCACCTTGCTGTTATGGACTCTAAACCCCTGGAACCATAAGCCAAAATTAACTCTTTCTTGCATAAGCTGTCTTCATTATTTGTCACAACACAAAATTACTCCACATGGGATTTAAGACATAAAAGAAGCAGCAAGTATGACTTAACAGAAACCACCACAGACATCAGAAGGGTACAAGTATCATGAATTAAAAATCACACCATTTAAGAAGTTATTGACCTACCACTTCCCAAGACAGATTTCATATGCAGGAAAACCATAAGGTACTCTGAGAAATTTGAGAGTCACAAAGTGGCAAAGGTGTCAGTTACCTTTATTCTTTGCTCTTAGTCTGTCTTCTAACTTCCAAAACTTTCATATTGGATGACACATGACATTCATCTTTATCTGAAAGAAAATGTAATGGAAATATTAAAACAGAGAGAATTGATAGGTAGCTTACAGAAACTAATTAGATGATTGCTCCTGAAAAGTAATAAAAATTATATGAAGCACTATAAAATTGATATCTGTTATACTATGAGTCATTTAAGAATCTAAAATAAAACCCTAAGTCCTGCTCAGAGGCTTTTAAAGGTGAGATATATAATATTCTTCTTCATTTATTTCACTTCAGAATAATAAAACTTTGAGAAAAAATGTTATTTAATATTTAAGTCTGTTTTAAAGTGACAATCAGGAAAGAGTCCCATTGAGGTTGGTTCAGTCAGTGCTACAAATAATACAAGGCTTCTGGAACTTCAATTACTAAAAGAAAATGAAGGAAGGCTCTGCATTCTGGGAAGAAGATAGGGATGAACAACAGAAGGCTGATATGCAGTTAAAGGGGGAGGGGTTTTGGGTTGAGACTGTATTTTAAGGAGTTAACTACTAGATTCAGCACAGGGGGCTTCAATTTCTTTCTTCAATTCTTCAGTATCTACATAAAATAAGCCACAAAGGTTTTTAGTCAAAATCATATTCAAGTTTATATTTTAAAAACATGGCTATCAGGCTGAAGAAATACCTCAGTGGATAAGAAAATGTACTGCACACATGAATCTGGATCCTAGCACTCATGCAAAACACGAGACATGGGCATACAGGTGCATGTCTATAACTGCAGCATGATGGAGGACAAAGACAGGTCTGGGTTTGATGTCAGGAGGATTACCTGGGCTTGTTGGCTACTACAGTAGATCCAGATTCAATAAGAGACCCTGTCTTAAAGGAACAAGTAGAGAATGATAGAGTAGAACACCTGATGTCTTCCTCTGGCCTCTACACATATGCTACAGGCACTCCCATACACACCTACATTTACATGCATACATAAACACATTCTCTAAATGAATTTGATTATTTGTATCCTAGAACACTGATGAGACACTGTGAGAGGACTCCATAGGCAGGGAATCTCTTTCATTACTGCAGTAGCCAAAATGAGAAGAATCTGGCACAGCTGCTATAGAAGTAAAATGTTTAAAAACTCACTGAGATGTCCTTCAGAGGGGGAAAATTAGATTAATGACCCCATCAATCACCCCAGTCTAACAACTGGAACCACCATCAACCTTGCACACAATGACAAACACAGGTCATCTGGGCTGTAATAGTCTGCCTTTCTAATCAGAGGCATTAACTAGAACCTTAAGAAATCTGTCTTAGAACATCAGAGCCCAATCTGTGAGCAATAAACATAACCCACCACACTCATCTGTCTGAAAGGTCAGCTTCAGAATGGTCATGGGACTGCTTGCACTGCTCTGAGTTAGGGTTTGTTCATCTCATAAATATTTTATTTATGTGAGGATGGGATTCCATGCAAGATTGCTATCTACCAATGAAGGAAAGGCAAAAAAGGGGCGGGGGGGGGGTTTGACCTGCCCTGTTCTGTCTCCTCAGGGAAGAAAGCTGACTGAGATGAACTCTATGGTCACTTGTGATCTAAGAAATTTCAGGAAGGTAGTGAAAGAAAATAAGAAGCTTCTATGAATTGGAGGATTTAGAAGAAAGAAGTAGAATTAGTAAACTATATTATGTGTATTTATGATTATCACTTAAAATCTTTTCTTAGGACAGATACAAATTTAAAAATTATTAAGCTATATTTTAAAGCTAATTGGTTACCTAATACCAAATGGCCAGCCCTGAAAACATGCATAGAAGTAACAGTTACTGAGAAGGTTGTATTCAGGAAAAAAAAAATATATATATATATATATATACACACACAAATATATGTAACAATAATTAATTTAAAAGAGGCTATGATTTTGAAAAAGAGCAAGGAGGGGTATATGGATGGGTTTGGAAAAAGGAAAGGTAAGGAAGAAATGATGTGTTTATATTATAATCTCAAGAATAAAATAATTAAAAAAGAAAATGGAAATAGTTCTCTCATGAGCTAACACTAGTTTCAGTAGCTGCTTAGGGCCCAGCAAATGCTACTCTCAGCCTAAAACAGAGAATCTTTTCTATGTAATGAATGAATTTCTCTATATAAAGAGATGCATGGCTGATCAGTGTACTGAGAAAAGTGACAGCTGATGTTCAGCCCCCAAAAGGATTCCAAGACTCAGGGACTATTAGGAAGAAGAGGCAGAAAGAATGTAAAGAGCTGAATGATGGGGAGAAGTGCTGTGGGATGCTATCTTGTAGGCACAACACACTCAATGTAATCATGACATCACAGAAGCTTCAGCTAACTGCAATAGGCTTGCACAAGACTGGAGCCCTACCATCCCAGCTGAACTACTGGTTACTGATGGACTCTTGAAGGGTAGCCATTATCTTCAGTTCTACCAGGCTTCAATGAACAGCAGAACTTCACACCCACTGTGATGGTTATTCTTGGTTGCTAATTTAACTACATCTGGAAATTATCTAAAACTCAAATAGTTGGGCACACCTGTGAGGGATGTTTTTCTTAATTAAATCATTTGAAGTGGGAAGACTCACTTCTAATTAAGGTCTTTGAGATGAGAAGTTACACCATTAATCTAGATATTTTGAGGTGGGAAGATCCACCTTTAATCTGGGTCACCTGCTGACAGCCTGTATAAGGACATGGAAGAAGGAAACTTGCTCTCTCTTTGTCAGCTTGTTTTCTCTCTCCCTCCCTCCCTCCCTCCCTCTCTCTCTCTCTCTCTCTCTCCCTCCCTCCCTCTCCCTCTCCCTCTCCCTCTCCCTCTCCCTCTCCTCCTTCTCCCTCTCTGTCTCTCTCACGAGCTAGAAAGTCTATTCCTTCACTGGTATTACAGTCCACTTCTTTGATATTCTGGCATATACTGAAGACTAGCTGAGAACATTCATGCTTGTAGATTGAACAACTACTGAATTCTTGGACCTTCCATTGGTAAACAGTCATTGTTGGACCAGCTGGACCACAGCCTATAAACCATTCAAATAAATAAATAAATACCGTGGTGTGTGTGTGTGTGTGTGTGTGTGTGTGTGTGTGTGTGTTGCCCCATGGAGGCCAGAAGGGAGTATGGGATGCCCAGTGACTGGAGTTACAGATAGTAGCTCAAGTTCTGTTCCTCTAGAGAATCCTTACTAATACACCCATGAGAACACAACTGGCCCCAGTTAAACTCTGAGTCACAAAGCAAAACAAAACTTGAATGGCATAAAGATACTTGAAAAGAGGGGCAAAGTGCTTATAAGGAGATCTAGAGAGGCTAGAGAATGTAATCATAGTTTACTATGTACATGTATGAACTCTATCAAAGAACAAATTCAGTAAGTTATATAAAAACAAACAAACAGAAATCCCCAAATGATCTGACAGTAACCATTATTAACATATTATTTGGGAACAGCTGTGGATTTGTCTCTGTGTCTGTACTGAAGGAGTGCCTGCTGGATTTCAGCCATAGTACTGAGAGGTGGGAAGACACAGACACAGTAAGATACAACTGCTCCCCCATACCCATGATGAACATCTAATCAGGGAAGAGCAGTGTATCGACAGCAGCCACAAAGTATGTATAGGACACCAGAGAGCACAGTGTGAGACAGGAATTTTATCAAGTAGATTTCCTTTACTGCATATCACCAATTGATTTCAGAAAAATATCATTTACAAATCTTGGTATTTTCTAAACAAAGTGAGTTTACAGATGTCAGAGAGGAAGCTAGAACTTATAAAAGTTTTAAGTAAGTTATCTTTTATAAGGAAGATTTTTTTTTTTTGCTTTTTATTCTTAGGGTCACAAAAGAAGTTTAGACTAAAGGAAAAACATATAGAAACAGCAAAACAAAACAAAAATGAAAAACAAACAAAAAATCTGTCTCCTACTCTCTCTTAACACTTCAACCTGTCCCTCTGATCCCCTGGAGATAACTTTTAACATGTCTGGTTAACTGCTGATCATTGAAAGCAGTATGGCAATAAGCTTCAATGACACTGTGTGTAGCTGCATACATGTGCAGTGTGTGTGAGACACCTTCAAACCCTGCTCTGCAGGAGATTTTATTTTTTTATTTTTTTGAGATTTAAAATATATATATATTTAAATATAATAATATGTAATATCAAAACTATCAAAATAATTTTATGTGTGCCTTAGTATAGCATAATTGCACAGTGGAGATAAAATGTCTATTTAAAAATCTATATAATGTCTGGGAATGTCAACTTGTACAACCACTTTGGAAATCAGTATGGCGACTCCTCAAGAAAATGGGAATCAGTCTACCACAAGATCCAGAAATTCCACTCTTAGGCATATACCCAAAAGAAACACATTCATACAACAAGGACATCCGTTCAACGATGTTCATAGCAGCACTATTTGTAATAACCAGAAACTAGAAGCAGCCTAGATGCCCCTCAACTGAAGAATGGATACAGAAAATGTGGTACATTTACACAATGGAGTACTACTCAGCAGAAAAAACAATGGAATCTTGAAATTTGAATGAAAATGGATGGAACTAGAAGAAACCATTTTGAGCAAGGTAACTCAGTCACAAAAAGACAAACATGGTAAGTACTCACTCATATGTGGATTTTAGACATAGAGTGAAGGATTACCAGCCTACAGTCCACACTACCAGAGAAGCTAGTAAACAAGGAGGACCCTAAGAGAGACATACATGGTCCCCTGGAGAAGGGGATCAAGATCCCCTGAGCAAATTGAGAGCACGGGAAGAGGCGTGAGGGAGCTATGAGAATGAGAAGGGAAGAAAAGGAAGGATGCAGAGGTCATGAGGGAGCAGAAAAGTTGAGTCAAGGGAAGAATGGAAGAAAGGATATGTGATAGGTAGGGTTTTAGTTGGGGTTGTGGTAGGGGAGGACGGGAGGGAGAAGGGAACTGGGATTGTCATGTAAAACAATCTTGTTTCTAATTCAAATAAAAAATGATTTAAAAAATCTATATAATGATTTTTAATAAGTGGGG